TCGACCACATTCTTGGCAACATATCAAATCTCACCAGGTACAAAAAACTTGGAATAACACCATGCACCTTATCAGGCCACCATGCATTAAAATTAGAATTCAGCAACAATACAGATTGCAGAAACCCTACAAAATCATCGAAGTTGGATAATGCACAATTATACCATTCCTGGGTCAAGGAAGAAATAAAAAAGAAATTAAAGACTTCCTAGAATTCAATGAGAATGGTGAAACAACATACCCAAACTTATGGGACACTTTGACAGCAGTGCTATAAGGGAAGTTCATTGCACTAAGTGCCCACATGAAGAAACTGGAGAATAGTTATACTAGAGAGCTAACAGCACAGCTGAAAGCTCTAGAACACAAAGAAGAAAACTTCCCCAGGAGGAGTAGACGCCAGGAAATAATCAAATTGAGGGCTGAAATCAATAAAGTAGAAACTAGGAAAACAATACAAAAAAAAAATCAATGTAACTAAGACTTGGTTCTTTGAGAAATGAAAGAGTATGAAAAGGCAAATTAACAAAATCAGAAATGAAAAGGGGGACATAACAACGGACACTGAGGAAATTCAGGGAATCATCAGGTCATACTTTGAAAACCTATACTCCACACAATTTGAAAATCTAAAGGAAATGGACAATTTTCTGGATAGATATCATTTGCCAAAATTAAATCAATATAAGCAACTTAAATAGACCTATAACCTCTAAGGAAACAAAAGTATTTGTCAAAAGTCTTCCAACTAAAAAAGCTCCAGGCCCCATATGGCCTCAGTGCAGAATTCTACTAGAAATTCAAAGAACAGCTTATACCAATTCTTCTCAAAGTATTCCAAGCAATAGAAGCAGAAAGGTCTTTGCCAAACTATGAGGGTTCAATAAGCCCCTTAAGACACAACTAAGAAAGAGAACTTCAAAACAATATCCCTCATGAACATTGATGCAAAAATACTGGCAAATCAGATCCAAGAACACATCAGAAAACTCATCCACCATGATCAAGTAGGTTTCATCCCAGGCATGCAGGGTTGGTTTAACATAAAATCCATCAGTGTAATCCACCATATAAACAAGCTGAGAAACAAAAATCACATGATCATCTCACTGGATGCTGAAAAAGCCTTTGACAAAATCTAACAACCTTTCATGATAAAGGTCTTAGAGAGATCAGGGATAACAGGAACTTACCTCAACATAAGAAAAGCCATATAAGCCGGGCGTTGGTGGCGCACGCCTTTAATTCCAGCACTCGGGAGGCAGAGGCAGGCGGATCTTTGTGAGTTCGAGGCCAGCCTGGTCTACAAAGTGAGTTCCAGGACAGCCTCCAAAGCTACAGAGAAACCCTGTCTCGAAAAACCAAAAAAAAAGAAAAGCCATATACACCAAACCAACAGCTAACATCAAACTAAATGGACAGAAACTCAATGCAATTCCTCTAAGATCAGGCACAAGACAAGGCTGTCCACTCTCTCCATACCTCATCAATATTGTACTTGAAGTTCGAGCTAGAGCAATACGACAACAAAAGGATATCAAGGGGATACAAATTGGAAAGGAAGAGGTCAAACTTTCACTATTTACAGATGATATGATAGTTTACATAAGTGACCCAAAAAACTCCAACAGGGAACTCTAAATACTTCAGCAAAGTGGCAGGATACAAGATCAACTCAAGAAAATCAGTAGCCCTACTATATACAGACGATAAAAGGGCTGAGAAAGAAATTAGAGAAACATCGTCCTTTACAATAGCCACAAACAACATAAGATACTTTGGGGTAACGCTAACCAAACAAGTGAAAGACCTGCATAGCAAGAACTTTGAGTCTTTAAAGAAAGAAATTAAAGAAGCCCTCAGAAAATCGAAAGACCTCCCATGCTCTTGGATAGGTAGGATCAACATAGTAAAAATGGCAATCTTACCGAAAGCAATACACAGTTTTAACGCAATCCCCATTAAAAATCCCAGCAAAATCCTTCACAGAACTTTAAAGAACAATTCTCAACTTTATATGAAAAAACAAAAAACTTAGGATAGCCAATACAATCCTGCTCAACAAAGCAACATCTGGAGGCATCACCATCCCTGACTTGAAGCTCTATTATAGAGCTGTAATCCTGAAAACAGTTTGGTGTTGGCACAAAAATAGACAGGTCGGCCAATGGAATTGAATTGAACACTCTGAGATTAATCCACACACCTATGAACAGATGATTTTCGACAAAGAAGTTAAAAATATACAATGGAAAAAAGAAAGCATCTTCAACAAATAGTGCTGGCATAACTGAATTCTGGCATGTAGAAGAATGTGGATAGATCCATGTCTATCGTCATGCACAAAACTGAAATCTAAATGGATCAAAGACCTCAATGTAAATCCAGCCACACTGAACCTGTTAAAAGAGAAAGTGGGAGCACCCTTGAACAAATTGGTACAGGAGACAGCTTCCTGAACATAATACCAGTAGCACAGTGAGATCAACAATTAATAAATGGGACCTCCTGAAACTGAGAAGCTTCTGTAAGACAAAGGACACAGTCAGAAAGTCAAAAAGGCAACCCACAGATTGGGACAAGATATTCATTAACCCCACATCTGACAGAGGGCTGATCTCCAAAATTTACAGAGAACTCAAGAAGCTATTCTCCAAACCACCAAAGGATCCAATCAAAAAATGGGGTAGAGAACTAAATAGAGAATTCTCAGTAGAGGAGACTAAAATGGCTGAGAGACACTTGAGAAAGTGCTCAACATCCTTAGCCATCCAGGAAATGCAAATCAAGACAACTCTAGGATACCATCTTACTCCTGTCAGAATCAAAAACTTCAACCAGTTTATGCTGGAGAGGATGTGGAGAAAGGGGAATAGTCCTACAGTGCTGGTGGGAGTGCTGACTTGTACAGTCACTTTGGAAATCAGTATGGAGATTCCTCAGGAAATGGGAAGTGTAGCACAAGACCCAGCAATTCCACTCTTAGGCATATACACAAAAGATGCACATTCATACAACAAGGATGTCTGTGGTGATGGAGATCCCACCCACCATGGCTTTGTGCATGGTAGCCACTCCCACTGACTGCAAAGCTGTATCTTCAACCCTCCCAGCTCCATCTTTCTCCTCGACATCTTTTCGTGACCTTTTAAATAGGACACCATTTTTTAAAATATTGTCTTTGAAACACACATGCCAAAAGAAGCCATTTACCCAATAGAGAGCATTTCTGAAAAAGAATTATTACTTGGGGGCAGGGAGGGTTATCGGTTGGGGGTAGGACGAGATGATCTCACTGTAGCCCGATCTAGCTTCAAACTCGGTAATTCTCCTGCCTCACCTCCCAAGTGCTAAAATTACAGGCATTAGGCACCATGCTCAGTTGGAAATAGAATTACCCTTTGAGTAATCACTTGGATAAAATAGTAGTTGAGGCAGGAAATAGCTGGACCATGTGATTTAGGGTAAGCAAACTCTAATTTTTTAGATATGCTATCAAAATTATCAGTAAAGGGATAACTGCACCCATAGACTTCTTTTGTAGAATTCTCTGTGGAATATGAATTACAGATATTAACTTGGTTGGGCACCATGAAACGCACCAGCATAATCTCTGTCATGACGAAATACACTGTTGAAAAGACAAGTGATGGGGCTGGAGAGATGGCTCAGAGGTTAAGAGCACTGATTGCTCTTCCAGAGGTCCTGAGTTCAATTCCCAGCAACCACATGGTGGCTCACAACCATCTACAATTCAATCTGGTGCCCTCTTCTGGCATGCAGACATACATGGAGGTGGGATGTTGTATTCATAATAAATAAAATAAATCTTTAAAAAAAAGAAAAGACAAGTGATATTTCTAATGGTAAGTTAAATTACAATGAAAGGCCTTATAAGTCATGTTTCCTATAATAAATTTTTGAAACAGAGTTCACCACTTTTAATCATGTAAATTAGACTAAACTGAGGTTCCAGCTCATCACAGTTGGGAATGGCTACAAGCCAGAAGAAAAACGACAACAAATGCAAGAGGATGGAGGGAAATGTCAATCGGTACCATATGGAAGTCACTATGGAGGGTCCTTACACTAAAACCAATAACTACCTTTATAACTACCTTGTGACTCACATGTGCCACTTCTGAATACATACCAGAGGTACTTGCACATCTCTGTTTACTGTCACACTAATCACAACAGCTGGGGACGGAAACAGCCTAGAGGTCCAGCAAATGAAAGGACAAAGGAAATGAGGAACACAAACTGAAAGCTATGCTTGTGAATAAAACTGTGAAATGCTTCAGTGAGTAAAAGCACATTCTGCCAAGAATGAGCCTAAATTTGATCTCTAGTTCTTATGTTGTGGAAGGAGGAAACTGACTGTCCTAAGTTGTCCCTTTTACCTTTTCTCTCTCTCACATGCATCTCAGGTGGTGGGAGATTCCAGATTGCTAACACATTACTAGGCACATTGTTCAGAAAGGAGTCTGTGTGCACAATACATACAGGAGAGGGTCCTAGGCTGTCCAGTGCAAAAACTGGAGAGATGGCTCAGAGATTAAGAGTACTGGTTGCTTTTCCAGAGGACCTGGGTTCAATTCCCAACACCCACATTAAGTAAACTTCATAAAATAAAAAAAAAGGCTTGTGTAGCCCAAACTAAGTGTTGTCACGGTTGCTAAACTCTTCCCTGTGCTTGCCTGTCTCAAAGGGGAGAGCTGGCCCACTACCCACAGTAAGTACCTCTCAACTACCTCTAACTCTAGATTCAGGGGCTCCAACACTCTCTGGCCTCCATGGTACCTGTACATACATGCATACACACAACGCATATATTAATGAATACAAATACTTTGAATGCTTTCTTTTAACATGCTTGCTTGAGTGTCTTCTGGGGGCTCCAGAATACTTATATACACCCAACCACATTCTTCAGTATGTTCCCAACCCCCTTCTCCCCTTCTGAAACAGGATCTATATTCTCTGTATTCTCACTTTCATTATGTTTATTTTTGTTATTTTTATTATGTTATTTTTGTTGTATTATAATGCTGTATAAGTATACAGTGAACTGGACTGTTCAGGGAATAACAAGGAAAAGCATCTGCACACCTATAATACAGTTAGAACCCAGAAATTTAAGTCAATACAGAGGGCCAGTGGTGTAGTTCACAACTGACTAACTTTAATTTATGCTTTAAATTATGAGAAAAACACTCCTTGGTTTCTGAACCGTCACTGTGAGGAAACTTTCCGGTTCTCCAAAGTCCAATTCGGCACTTTCTGCAAATTAGGAGACAGAGTTGCTTGAACACAGGGATTTTTGTTATAAGACATCTTTGCACAGGGCGGTGGTGGTGCGTGCCTTCCTTTAGTCCCAGCACTCAGGAGGCAGAGGCAGGCGATCTCTGTGAGCTGAAGGTCAGCCTGGTCTATAAGAGCTAGTTCCAAGACAGCCTCCAAAGCCACAGAAACCATGTCTCTAACAACAACAAAAAAAGATATCTTTTTGTCCAAATTGTTCTCTGGACCCCGTGGAACAAGGCAGCATTGAGCAAGTCCAATGCAGGGGATGGATGTTCGGTTCCAAAACCTTGACATTGGTCTAAGGTGGCAAATTTGGAGGTAGAATTTTACGTTTCCTTGAAGAGCGTTTGTCTTTAGTAAAATTCCTCATCGTTCTCTTATTTCTGTAAGAGAAAAAAGTTAGAGGGCTGTAAAAAGTTGCTGGGGGGATAAAAGTCCAAGCTAGGTGTGGTGGCACACACCTTTAATCCCATCACTAAGGGGATGGCAGGCACATCTATGTGAGCTGAGGCCAGCTTGGTCTACAGAGTTAGTTCCAGAACAGGTTCCAAAACAGGGTGTTAGCTCTCTGGATTCTATTAGGTTATTCAGAAACTCAGTTAATATTTTTCCTGTTTCCCATGCCTAGAGAAATTCTTGGGGATTACCTTCTGACACATTCTGGACAGAGCATGTTATCTTCCACTCCTGGGTTTGGGAAAACACAGGCTGGTAGCAAAAAGAGGGGGATCATTCTTTGGGGACTGTCTGGAACCCAGGTATGACCAATGTTCATCTGCAGACAAACCCAGCCTGGTTCATCTGCAGGGAGCAGTCTGCCATGGACAACACACCATCTGAACCCTGTGGAATAGGAACAAGCAAATAGAAGGTCAAAACAATAATCCAAGACCTCTTTTGAATTTGCTATCTTATGGTCTGCTAAATATCTAATGCAGGGGCTGGAGAAATGGTTAAGAGCACTGGCTGCTCTTCCAGAGGTCCTGAGTTCAATTCCCAGTAACCACATGACCTGGTGCCCTCTTCTCTCATGCAGGTAGAACACTGAACACAATAAATAAATCTTGAAAACAAATTTGAATGCATTTCTGATAACTTATAAACTGTCAAAACTCTTATATGGTATGCACAGGGAAATTTAAGTATTAAAACAAAGGCCAGATGGTAGTGGTGCATGCCTTTAATCACAGCATTAGGGATGCAGAGACAGGTCAGGTCAGTTTCTGTGAGTTTGAGGCCAGCCTGGCTTATAGTGCCAGGATCGGCTCCAAGCTACAAAGAAACCCTGTCTTGAAAACAAAAACAAAAAGATGACAATCTTTGGTCTGGAGACATGGCTCAGTGGTTAAGAGCACTGGCTACACTTCCAGACAACCAGGGTTCAATTACCAGCACCCACATGGTAACTCACAACTGTCTAAAATTCCAGTTCCAGAGGACCCTCCCACAGACAAATGCGCACATATTAAAAAAAAAATTAAATGAGATGCATGGAAAACAGGCCAGATGATATTTTCTAACCAAATTGTCATCCAAAGGCATCTTAGTTACTTGCAGAATGCTTGATTTGTTTTAAGATTTTGCTAAATGGTTCACATATTAACAGTTATTAATACTTGTATTCTACTTTTATTTCTTTCTAATACTAGAGATTAAATCCAGGACCTCATGCATGTTAAAGACTTCTACCACTGAGCCAAGCTGCCCAAATCCTTGCTGTTCCTAAAGGGGAGGGAGCAACTATTTACTACTGAATTTCCTTTCCCACAATGAATCAACACAAGAATTCTCAATGGACGATGGTGGTGCATGCCAGCACTCACTTGGGAGGCAGTGGCAGCCGGGATCTTTGTGAGTTCCAGGCCAGCCTGGTCTATAGAGTGAGTTCTAGGACAGGCTCCAAAACAATACAGAGAAACCCTGTCTTGAAGGGAAAAAAAAAAACATGTATTCTCACACAGCCCACTTATCTTAACTGCATCGTACTGACTTAAAGGATCCATGACTGGTAAATCAGGAGGAATAAAATTCCATACACAAAATTGCCTCAATGCATACATGTGTACATATAGCCTGGAATAAACATAAACCAAGAAAGTAGAAGACCTCTAAAAGTCTGAAAGAAATTGGAGAAGATCCTAAAAGCTGTGACCCCCCCTACCCCCCCAACCATGACCTCATGATTGGAAAATAGTATTCTAAGGGTGGCTCTTACCAAAAGCAAACTAGAGATTCAATGTACTTCCCCAAATTTTCAATGTCATTCATTCTTCACAGACGGGAAAAAAAATTCGAAAAATCATGTGGGAGCACAAAAGGAACCTGGAGACCCAAATGCAAGCCTGAGCAACAACAACCAGTATTAACTCAGAAACATCTGATTCAGAAGATACACTATAGGGGGGGCTAGAGAGATTGCTCTAGCGGTTAAGAGCAATGACTGCTCTTCCAGAGGACACAGGTTCAATTCCCAGCACCCACATGCAGCTTACAACTGTCTGTAACTCTAGTTGCAGGGGATCTGATGCCTTCATCCCAATACATATAAAGGTTAAATAAATAATTTTTTATTATTATTATTTGGTTTTTCAAGACAGGGTTTCTCTGTATTGTTTTGGAGGCTGGCCTCGAACTCACAGAGATCCGCCTGCCTCTGCCTCCTGAGTGCTGGGATTAAAGGCGTGCACCACCAACGCCCAGCTTTGTAGAATATCTTTTTTTAAAAAAAGTTATTGCCTGGCGTTGGTGATGCACGCCTTTAATCCCAGCACTCTGGAGGCGTGCACCACCAACGCCCAGCTTTGTAGTGTATCTTTTTTAAAAAAGTTATTGCCTGGCGTTGGTGGTGCACGCCTTTAATTCCAGCACTCTGGAGGCAGAGGCAGGTGGATCTCTGAGTTCGAGGCCAGCCTGGTCTATAGAGCTTGAGTTTCCAGAACAGCCTGGATACACTAGAGTCAAGTTAACTAAGGTGGCATGGTCCTGTCATGTAATAGAAGACCCTGACATAACAAACCCAAGAAGCTACAGCCATAAATATGCATTGGGAAAGATCCTTTTTGCTTAATGGTCCCTGAAAACTCAGATGGTCACATGTAGAAAACCCACCTCTGTCACAAAAATAATCAACTCTAAAAATGGATGGAAGATTTTGTTAACACAAGACCTGACCCTAAAGGAGAAAAAAAAAAAGACTTTCAAAGACAGGAATAGGGAATAACTTTGAGTAGGACTCAAATACCAAAAATTGATAAATAGTATTCATGAAATTACAACAAAGACTGAAAAGACAGCCTCAGCCTACAGAACAAAAGAAAAATCTTTGCTAGCTGTACAGATATATATATATATATATATGCATACATACATACATGTATTTCTGAATATCTAGAATGTATTCTCTATTAGCCACTCACCTTTCTATTAAACAAGGTCTCCCTATGTAGCCTTATTGGCTCGGACCTCACTAGAGACTAGCCTGCCCAGTCTCCCATGTGCTAGGATTACAGGTATACACCACAAAGTTTTCCATGGTGATAGGGATGTAATTCAGGGCTTCACAGACACTGACTAAGGAGCTACCTTCTCAATCCCTAAAAATACTAGAAGGAAAGACAGACAAGCACGTTATTAGATTAAGTTTCCTTCAATGTCAAAACTCCCTATTTGGCAAAGAGTGTCTTTAATCCAAATAATACTTTTCTATTCATTGAGAGGAAAAGACCAAGTTCTATGTGAGTCAAAGTTATCATCTACACCAGTAGTTTTCAACCTGTGGGTCACGACCCCTTTGGCAGACCTCTATCTCCAAAAAGTATTTATTAAAGTAGAATCAATTGCAAGCTGGGCAGTGGTGGCACATGCCTTTAATTCCATCATTTGGGAGCCAGAGGCAGGCAGATCTGAGTTTGAGACCAGCCTGGTCTATAAGAGCTAGTTCCAGGACAGCCTCCAAATGTCCTGAAGGACCAAAAAAAAAAAAAAAATGCAGTTATGAAGTAATTAGCAGTGAAAATAACTTTATGGTCGGGGGAACCATAACCGGAGGAACTGTATTAGAAAACTATATTAAAAAGGGTCCCAGCATTAGGAAGGTTGAGAACTGATCTAGTTTTGCTTCATTGAAATGTAGTTTTTCTTTGATTATTATCCAGGTTGATCTCGATTGAACGCGCCTGGGAAGGATCACCTTGGACTGCTGACCCAACAGCCTCCACCTCCCACAGGCTGGGATCACATGTATGCACCACCCTACCTGGCTCATCTTCAAACTGTTAGGTTATAGTCCTCACATTGATGTTAACTAGGAGCTTCTAAAGAGTACAAGTCACACCTTGCTGCTGATCTTACCGGGGGCTGGTAGCAGAAAGGTCTTTCCATTGGAGGGAAGAGGCTGCCGATTCGCAGACATAGGCAGACCTGCTCTCGTTACAATTCTTCCCCAGGAGGCAAAGGCAGACTCCCTTTCTGAGGTTAAAACCTCCACAATGGCATTCTCCTCCTCCTCTCTCTCTCTCTTCAGGTTTTGAGGCATAGGTTCTTTTTTGGCCTTCTTGGATTTTGGCTTCATTTTCGCCTCAAGGGGTGTTTGTGGAATATGCTGAAAATGAAATTCAACAGTATTCAAAAAATGCTCTTGCAAAAAGGACTCGTTAGACCAGTTTCACACACTGGCTTAAGCAAGTACAATTTTAAAACACTACTGTCCACAGTGTTGGTTCAACAGGGAAAAAAATTGGTAGTTAGAACTAGCCCCACTCAGTACCTCAGAGATTGGTCTGTCCCTGCCTCCCTAGTGCTGAGATCAAAGGTGTGTGCCAGCAGCCCAGCCTTTTTGGTTTTGCTCAGTCTCACCCTGTTGCCCAGGCTGGCTTTGAACTTGTTGCCCACCCTCCTGCCCTCATCTTCCCAGTTCAGTTCTGGGATCCTAGTTGCGTCACACCCACACTACATAGTACCCAGTTTCCAAAACGAAAGTCACAGTAAGGCGGGAGGTTGCTGTGTAGTGGACAGAGGACTTAGGTGCTTCTAAACACATTGACTACAATGACTACATTCAAAGCAGTAAATCATAGAGCCTAGAGGTGCAGGCCTGCAATCCCAACTGTTGGTGCCTGTAATCCCGGCACTTGGGAAGTTACAGGCAGGACTCAGAGCTCAGTATCTCCTTAGCTACACACATTGGGCTGTAGCAGGGCAGCCTAAGACCCTTGAGAGACCTTATCTATTAGATGCGGTGGCACACGTCCTGAATTTCAGCAGGTGGATCCCGGCCGTCAAACAAACAAAAAAAAACCCAAAAACCCCCACATAAAAATAAATAGAAAAAAAGGGGGTGGGGAAGGTTGAGTTCCAGCTACACATTTGGTCCCTCAGATATCAGTGACCTGGACTTAGAGGATGGTTACCTAAGAGAAATTTTAGTGAGCGCACGGGGAGGGTCCACCCCCACTCTATCATGATATCACTACTTACACATTTTTGTTCTGAAAACGCATTCTTCTGAAGTCTCTCGTAGACTTCAACCTTCTAAAGAAATTAAGAGAAAAGAATTAAAACCTGACCAAGCTCCACACACTTAGTCCACACAGTGTAGAATCCCGGTGGGGGTGGGGGGCACTAACCTTGCCATCGGTACTTAAGTTACGCAATCGACACCATTCCCGAAGAGTGTTCCGGGACACCTCAGTGATAGGAGGAAGCATATCGGGCAGGGATGGGTAGGGCTTTAGCTCCGATGCTGAGGGTTTGACATCCTCAGAAGGTACCATAGGGGGAACTTAGAGACAAAGCAAAAACTGTTTAATACCAGCCGATTGCTCACAAACCAGTTTGTACATAAAGCTGCCTTTTTTTCTTCCAGTTACAAAAGAGGAATTGACTTCAAGATCACACACTCTTTACACACCCCTTAAAATAGGTGACTTGGGACAGCAACTCACACTTACAGTCTAAGTTCTATGCTCTTTTAAAATTGTGTATGTGCCCAGTGTGCATTCTAGACAGCTGAGTTTTGTTTTTTTTGTTTTTTATGAGACAGGGTTTCTGAGTAGCCCAGGCTGTCCTGGAACTTTCTATGTAAACCAGGTTGGCCTCAAACTCAGATCTAGCTGCCTGCCTGTCTCCCAAGCACTGGGATTAAAGGTGTGTGCTACCACACCTCACCTAAGGCAGCAAATAGGGCTTAGCAACTGAGGTACGTGAAGTTTTCTTATGGGGAATTACAGTGAGGTTTAAGGAACTGTGTGGTGTATGCAACCTGCCTGGCCTGGTAATTCAGGCCTTTAATCCTTAAGGCCAGGACCAAGGAGGCAGAAGTGGGGGTTTTCTGAATTTGAGGCAGTGCAGTGAAAAATTTAGTCGGACAAAATGAAGTCTACGTCTCTTGGCTTTCTGGAAACCCATCTCACACGTGACAATACCTGGTGGCCTGTGGACTATGGTTGACGAAACCGATTCTGTTGGTACTTGTGCTGGTACTTGTGGGGTGATCGCTTCTTCCTCAGTAAACGGGACCAGCGTTAAAATGATCTCTTCTTCATCAAATTCTTCTTTAAAAGGCTTAAGCAAAGAGAAGCAGTGAGGGTTTCTGTTTCTTTTCAAGGCAAGCTTAATGAACTCATTATTCCCTGTCTGTTTTTTAGTGTTTGTTAGCAAAGCAAGATGCCTGGAATTTAGAAGAACTTTCTATAGAAGTTAAATAATCTCAGTTGCCCTGTTTTGCCAAGCGATATACCCAGTCTCAGAAAAGCAATGAACTAAGACTGCAGTAGTGACACCTCCTTGAGGAAATTCTGAACATTCTACAGAATTCTGCCATGTCCCTCCCCTTCTATTGAAATCTCACCTTTACTTGAATTACTGAGTTTTACATTTGAATAGCACCTTTCAAAGTACTGCAGATGCAGATTTCATTTTGTTACAAAACAGAAACAAAACAAGGACAAAAAAAGAAAGAAAGAAACAACAGTGGCTCGTGTCTTTAATCTTAACACTTGGGAGGCAGAAATAGGCAGATCTCTAAATTTGAGGCCACCCTGGTCCCTGGTCTACAGAGAGTTTGGACTACACAGATACCTTGTCTTGAAAAACAAAAAGCAACAACAAAACAAAAAGATGGACATCACCCCACTCTGGCAACTAAGCCTAAAAACAGCGGTGAGTTGGCCTGACCAGTTCTATCTCCTAGCTTGGTACAGTGGTCCCTATCTGGCCCCAGGATCACTCAGGCCTAGACGGGAAACCCACCTGCATTCCGGGTCCCAGGAAGTGCTTACTTCTCATTAGAAAAGAGAATGGCCACCGAAATGTGTATGTTTTTAAAGTATAAGTTATCAAAAATTTTTTATCAAATTTCCTCTTAAAATTGCCCTTTCCTCGAGATTTAGCTCAGTTAAAAACACTCCTTATCTGAGACAAATTTACAGGCTACTATTTCATCCAGGAAACAGTTTCATTTTTACTCCCAGGAAATACATAGTATCGAGCATGTGGGAAAAAAGTAACAAGCAAAGAGGATTCCAAGATGGAGGCTTTGAACCCGAATTGCTTCCTCCCCCAAGCCGGAACCAAGGCCGAGACCTAGAAAGACTGTGAAAAGAACTCTGAGAGAAAACTAATCGTCATAAAAAGAAAAGTTACCTTCTCTTGGGCGTCCCGGCTGGAAAGTGCCATTTTTGCGCAAGCTTCAAGAAGACAAAAGGAACACAGGTAAGGATTTCTGTAGCTCCCTACTGCTAACCTGAAGGTTCATTTACAGGTAAATGTCCCCTCCTACTTCCTGTCGCCCAACTGGGCTCTTTCCCCTCCTCCTCTCTCCACCTGGTCCTTTTTTTTTTTTTTTTTTGTCAGTTCTACTACTGAGTTGAGCTGCTAGTACATAGCTCAATTAAGAAGTAAATCTAGCAGGCGTTGGTGACACAGGCCTTTAATCCCAGCCCTCAGGAGGCAGAGACAGGCAGATCTCTGGGAGTTCAAGGCCAGCCGGGATCAGAGAGTGAATTATACGACAGCCTCCAAAGCTACAGAGAAACCCTGTGCTGAAAAACCAAAAATAAATCAATATAAATAAGTAAATCCAAAGCCCAGACCCCACCCCCTTTTTACAAATTTGGGTTTTTGGTTGGGTGTTGGTGCCACACTCCTTGAATCCCATCTCTTAGAAGGCAGAGGCAGGTGAATCTCAGTGAGTTCCAGGACAGCCAGGACTATAGTGCAGAGAAATCCAGTCTGTAAAAAAAAAAAAAAAAAGACAAAACAAACAAACACTGCTGGAGAGACTGAGCCAGGAAAATGTTCAGTTTCACTCAGTCCGGGCTACTGAAGGAAACCCTAGAACAGCCCCCCCATACTTAATCCTTAATTTATTAAGAAATCATAAGTAAATCTAAATTAAGAAACCCTACCTATCGCCTGACTCACTCCTTTCGGGGAGTGTCCCAGGAATCTGTATTTCCAAGATCCCTTCAAGAGCGTCTTCTGTTGACACTGCCCAAAGCAAACTTTGCCAGAACGGGCCTTGCATATAGGCCCAGGAGAGCCGAACCTCCTTGCCCCTCCCTTGTGGGACAGAAACTGAATAATGTCCAGAGGGTTAGGGACAGTCAAAGACTCCTCCTTCCCATGTCCTGAGGTGGGTGAGACAAGGACTGCTGCTGTCCTTATTTTGTCAATTGATTTGCCTCAACTTTACAAGTACCGGGATTACTGGAAGGAGCAACTATGTCAATTTTTATATTTGTTTCCTTTTGTTTATTTTTCTAAACACCCTTTTTTGTTGTTGTTTTGTTTTTGAGACGAGCCTCATGTAGCCCAGGCCGCTCAGCTTGCTAGATTGACAGATTTACCCAGAAGTCCTGATCATCTAGCCTCCACTTGCTAAGTGTTATGATTAGAATCATGTACCTTGGAGCCTGGCTGAGGGGCTGTAGAGACGACTTGGTGGTTAAGAGCACTTACATTGGGCTTCAATTCTCCCCAGCCACACGGTGGCTCACAACTGTCCAATATCAAATTCTGTCCCAGGGAATCCAACACCCTCTTCTAGCCTCCTGTGACACCAGGCACAGACAGAATACCCATACAAGTATGGCAAATAAATCACAAAATCTCTTTGAATCAGAATCCAAATAAGGGCTGTGTACTGTGATTTTGTTCTTGTTTGCTCTTTGAGACAGGGCTTTTCTGTATAGCTATGGAGCCTGTCCTGGAACTCACTCTCTAGATGAGGCTGGCCTTGAACTCACAGAGATGGACCTGCCTCTACCTCCTGAGTGCTGAGATTAAAGGCATGCACCACCACTGCCTTCTACGTTCAGGGAAATGTCATGTCTCTCCCCTCTTTCCACAGAGCTGAGATGGAAGTGAAATGCTCCATTTGCCCCCATTCCAAAAGATGATGAAGTTCGGATTGGCCCAGGATAGTACAAAGGCCAGCAGATTAGTGAAGTGCTCCAGATGTACAAGAAGCAAATATGTCTTCTACATGGAAGGAGTATAGAGGAAAAAAAAGACTAATAACACAACTGTCCTTGCGGTCGATCACCCACCCAGCAAGTTGGATAGCACCAGGCTGCAGCTGACAAAGAAAAAAAAAGGAAAGAATCCTGGAAAGGAAAGCCGAGTCTAGACTTGAAGAAACACAGGGCAAATGTGGGAAGAAATGATTGAGAAGATTTGGGAATAGAGGAATCTCATACACAACTTCATTAAAGACTAAATAAAAAACAGCCAGGTGATGGTGGTGCACGCCTTTAATTCCAGCACTCTTGAGGCAGAGGCAGGCAGATCTCTGTGAGTTCGATACCAGCCTGGTCTACAAACACTCGTTCCTAGACAGGTTCCAAAGCTACACAGGGAAACCCTTTCTTGGAAAACAAAACAAAACAAAAAGACTAAGTTAAAACAAACATTAAAATAATAATAATAATAATAATAATAATAATAATAATAATAATAATAATAATCCAGGGCTAGATAAATGGCTCAGTGGTTAAGAACACTGATTGCTCTTCCAGAGGACACAGGTTCTATTCCCAGTACCCAAGTGACAGCTAAGAACTAACTGTAACTCCAAGATCTGACACTCTCACACAGACATACATGCAGGCAAGCACATAAAATAAGAATAAATAAATTTTAAAAATGAAAGGGAGAATCCACCAGTGGTGGTGGTGGTAGCCTACACCTTCAATCCCAGCACTTTGGAGGCAGAGACAAGAGGATCTCTGAGAGGCCAGCCTGATCCACAAGGTGAATTCCAGGATAGGCAGGGCTACATAGAGAATCCTTGTTGCAAACAACAAAACAGCAACAAAAAGAATCCTATCCTCTGTGGAAGGTGGGGTGGGGGGTTAGGGCAGGGGTGGTGGTGTCTCAGTGTGTATCCCTGCCTGGCCTGGTGCTTGACATGTAGACCAGGCTGGCCTCAAGCTCTCATAGTTCCATCTGCCTCCATGTCTGCACTACTGGATGTTGGGATTAAAGGGAAGAGTCAAGTCCAGCCAAGGAGAACCCTCCTAAACTAGGTAGGGTAGCTCAGGGCTTTAGTCCCACCACTCAAGAGGCAAAGGTTGGAGGTAGCAGCACATTCAAGGCCAAAATGGTCTGTCCAGTGACTTTATAGGAGCCAGGGCAACATAAGAGCCTCTTTCAAACACACCTCCATATCCTTCCCCCGAAAGTAAGGTCAGATTCAGGGCTAGGAATGTAAGACTTGTAGAGTGCTTGCCTTGAAGTAAAGGGTTTTTGTTTTTTCAAAACAGGTCTTTTTTTTTTTTTTTTGGTTTTTCGAGACAGGGTTTCTCTGTGGCTTTGGAGGTTGTCCTGGAACTAGCTCTTGTAGACCAGGCTGGCCTCGAACTCACAGAGATCCGCCTGCCTCTGCCTCCCGAGTGCTGGGATTAAAGGCGTGTGCCACCACCACCCAGCTTTGAAATAAAATCTTGAGTGTGGTTCCTAGCATAACAACAACAATAATATAATAAAAGTGGGCATGGTGTTGTACATCTATAATTCCAGTAACTGGGAGCTCTACATAGCAAATTCCAGGCCAGGCAAGATTACATAGGGAGACCTGTCTCAAAGAAACAATATATCGAGTTCTTGGGCTAGGGTTGTAGTTCAGTGGTACAGTGCATGCCAGCAGGTACAGGGTTGCAAGCTGAATTCTCAGCATCAAAAAAAGAAAAAAAAAAGGGCCGGGCGTTGGTGGCACACGCCTTTAATCCCAGCACTCGGGAGGCAGAGGCAGGCGGATCTCTGTGAGTTCCAGACCAGCCTGGACTACCAAGCGAGTTCCAGGACAACATCCAAAGCCACAGAGAAACCCTGTCTTGAAACCCCCCCCCAAAAAAAACAAAAAAAAAAGGAAAAAAAAAAAGGAAAAAAAAGAGGAGGAGGAAGATGAAGGAGGAGGGGGGAAGGAAAGAAGGACAGAAGGGAGGGAGAGAAATGACCCATCCTCTATCCATACTTGGAGCTTTTCTCCAGGATGCTTCCTTTGAAACAGAATGGTCTGTTAAACAAACTAGAATAGAAAGATGAACTCATGCCTACTGGAAGTAGCTGAAGTTTGGTGTTAAGAATTCTTTAGATTGGTCTGGTACTATAGTCACCAGATATTTTCGGAGCATATGTGAGGTTCTGGCTTCAGTCCCCAGAACCTTGTAAACAGGCACGTTGGCTCAGTCCTGTAGTGGTAGAAGCCTGCTATCTCAGTACTTTAGAGGTTCAAGTATGAAGTTCAAAGTCATCCTCAGCTATGAAATCAGTTCTATGTCAACTTGGGCTAAATGTATTACACAAAAGTCTGTCACAAAACAACTGATTCTTGGACTACTCTGGGGACATAGCTTAGTTGTAGAGAAGGGGAGCCACCACCATCTCTAATGTATTCAACAGGTATTAAACACTTAAAATTTGCTTAAAATTGGCCATTTTTAGTGTTAATGCTTTTTTTGTTTGTTTATTTAGTTTTCCTTGTTTTTGTTCTTTTGAGACAGGGTTTCTCTGTGTAACAGCCCTGGCTGTCCTGGAACTCACTGTGTTGAAGAGGCAGGTCTTGAGGTCTTGAATTCAGAGATCCACCTGCCTTTGCCTCCAGGATGCTGGGATTAAAGGTGTGCAGTACCATCGTCCAGCAGCCATTTCTATCTTTTTGAGACAGGGTCTCATGGAGCTTGGGCTGCCTGGGAACTTACTATGTATCAGAGGCAGAGGATGGCCTACAACTTCTGCCTCCATCTCTCCTATGCTAGGTTGGTGTGTGCCGCCACATCCAATGTGTGCAGTGCAAGCCAGAGTCTCAGGGATGCTAGGGAGGTGCTCTAAACACTGAACTATGTTCCTCTTCCCCTTAACTTGATGTTGAACTACATCGCATCCTCTTGACTGCCTTTACCCACAAGGACCCCAGCCTCATGGTGACTCAAGGCCAGGGTCCTCTGGCTGCTGTTCAATCTTCCTGGTAGTTTTAGTCTCCTCGATTCCTAGTGGAGTGCCATAACCTGTCTTATGGCTGTGTTATTTCAGAGCCCCCCTATTCCCTAATGGATGTTATGGCCAGACATTGTGAATGCCTCGCCCATCATCATCATCGGAGAACATTCTCAGCTGTGCTCCACCCCTCTCCAGCACATTTCTTATAGGCCTTCTTAGTACCTCCTCTGTGAGGTTGTGCAAAAGAACATGGCTTGTCAGATGTGACATTGAGTACCATCTCTGTGTTTGTTGGGTTTTTTTTAATTGTTGTAGAGTCACTGT